TTTATGGCATAATGAACGAGATGAAAGCAGAAACTGGCATTGAAAACCCAAGAATAACACCATACAGGTTTATATTCTATTGAATTATTTAAATTATATGAATTTAACTCACCACAAAGTGACTATTAAGTCTATTTAATGTTGCTAATAAATGCTAAATAGAATTAATATCATATTTTTTATAATAATTCAGCTACCATTCAACTTCAATTTCAAGAGTGCGAAAGTTTGTAACATACCATAAAATTCCTATTTAACACCCATCTTCTTATAAAGGTTTGATTTTTTGATAAGGAGAAAATCTACTCACCAGTGCTAAACTCAGTAGTAAATCAAGGATTTTATTCAAATCCTTCAGAATCCATTTATTTTTCTAGTAAACCAAACAATATATCATATAAACTTATAAACTTTAACACTTCTTAACGTGATTAACACCAGACCATATTTATTTAAATGATAGGCCCCCATGGGAGTTTAATAGGAAATTTATGGTATTACAAAGAATCACATGTTTATAATATCCAATATTTTTTTTGCTTTACAAAAACCTTTAGGCAGAACTTTTTCTACGTAATAAAAAATTTCAAAACGTCTATATTGACATGAAAAAAAAGACTTATGATTTCATAAAATACTTCAGTTTAAAATATAACTGATACACTCTGACTCTGTTTATAAATTATGAAATAAAATAAAGATGTTTATGATTACAGTTCTTGCACACAAACATTAAACATGCTACTTGTATACCACAGTTTTTCAAACATTAATTTTCCTATTTAAACTGTAGTATAAAATATTTTATAAAAAAATTCCAAAATTTTCCAAACCCTTTTCAGCTCAAGAAAAAGGATGATACAGAAGTTAAGTGATGAAGGAGTTCCTGATAATCAGATTATGCAGATTTCTGGCCATAAAAACATCAACAGCATCAACAACTACAGTAAATTAAACCCAAACCAAAATCGTCAAATACCTGACATACTGTCAAATAAACCAAGCAGCACAGTTTCATCATACCAGTCAACCGTAGAACAAGCTGAAACAACTAGAAATCTTGAAAAACCATGGGCTTTTCAATCAAATGGTTTCCCGCAGGGCTTCTTCACTAACTCTAATATACATGGTAACGTAATTATTAATATGGGGAAAAGAACAGAAAGTCAGCAACTTTCTCAGACAAACAACCTACAAATATCCTGTGAGCAACCTAGTTCATCACATTTATATCAAGATTCCCCTCCATTGGCATTCCATAAGCAAAGGCTTTATAAACGCATCAGATGCATTTCAGACAGCGACAGTGACTAAATGATGTAAATTCAATGAACAATGCAACTTAAAAAGGTTACTTTTGAAATAAATGAACGTGTTAAATGTTCCAAAGTGTTTCCTGTTAACTTTTTCTGATTATTTAAAACATATATATTATACATGTAAATTGATGGACTCACCAACTCAGGGACTTAAGTGCAAAGCAGTACTTGACATTTTCTTACATTGTATATAATGTGGAAAAAATGTTACAATGTTACTTACTTACATTTACTATTGCAAAAAGTAAAAGATATTTGCTTAGTTCAATTTATAAAAGTTTATAAATGTATAACAAATTTGTTTTGTTATTAATTAAAATGTTGATAAAGAGTGATTAAAGGTTAGAAACTTATGAAACGACAACTTATTTTTTGGTAATTTTCCTTTCCATCATTAAAGAATCCCTCAGGTTTCATTTCAATTTAAACAAATACAGACACTTGTATATTTTTCATATTAAAATTAAACCTTCATGCTTTCTCCTATACTTTCTCAATTTATAAATAAGTTAGTTGACATAAAATCATTAATGTGATTAATATTACTTTTATAAATTTAATAATATGAAATGGTATTTTATCACTAAAACAATTTTTATTCATTTATAGCTTAGAAATGAATTTAATAAGAAAAATAATTATCATACTCAAGAAAAATGGTTTTCAGTATTTTGGTTTTCATTAGAATTTTACCTTCAAAAACTTAAAAGTTATGAATATTTACACAAATTTTAAGCTTTATATTCAATGAAAAATTTCATATTTAAATCTTTTTAAAACCTTCCTGACACTATTGAGTTGGTATATATGATAATGAGCGATGAATAACAGAAGATCCGGAAAAAGATCACTTAACTTAAATGTGCCATTTAGACACATGTTAGTTTTATAGTCTTGGATATAAATAAAAAATTATCAAAAATTCCGTAATATGGGGAAGTCAAATGCCAGGACCGGGCTTTGGCCTATAGTACATGTACATGTATAGACTAGATGTGTATATTTAAAAGAAAATCAAATAAAAAAAGATAAATAATCAGGGATTTTTTCCAGGATTTTGGGAACATGACCCATACCTATGGAATGGGGAAATTCAGCAGTGTTTAGTTAAAATTTGGAAAAAATGCATGACTGAATGAAATTTTGCAGTGATTAAATGAATGCGCAACCAATTACTGTCCATGATGGCATCTTCAAACATTTGAGCACTATTACAGTGAAGAAACCGTTATTTGCAAATATTTTAGAATTTTTCTTAAATATTTTTATTTTGTAATTTTCAATAATAATTAATTATTGTGAATTTTTTCCTGTGTATTGGGAAAATAATATACTATTTTTAATTTGGAAAATGACCCAACAACGGCTGTAAAATAACACAAAAAAATCCCTGCAATTAAAAAAACATATACAATGTATAATTCTATACCTAACAATGAAATTTTCAGTGTCCTGGGAGGTGCCATTTACTATATAAGTAAATTACAATAGGTGGTGGTATTCCGACAAAAGAACACTCAACTTTTCGGATTAATAATAATCTCCTCATGTTCCGGTGACCGGATACCGAATAACCCATTCAAAACAGAAAAATGAACGATTTTTTTTAACCAGCTTCCCGTTCATAGGCTTTGCCTAATTTCATATGATACTGAGGATATTAATTGTTTAGTTCATTGTAAGAACGGGATTATATTTCACCAAGAGGTATATTTCACAGGTGGCGCATCCATAAATGTAATATGAATTTTTGGTGTTCACAAGATGAAATATATTTCGATCATACACTAAATTAAAGTAACAAATTTTCTTTTTATCATATGCAAATAAATGTTTTTAAAAGACATTTTAAGCTAATACTTAATGGAAAACAAGCGGGTCCGAAAACAAGCCAAATAATAATAAAACTTGACCTCATTTACGACATCACATCATTTAGTTGGTTTCCAGTACTGTGTACACTAGGTATTTCATTAAAACAAGGTAACAGGCTTAAATTCAAAACAGTGAAAAATTTCAATTGATAATTTCACTGTTTCAGACAGTAATTTTTTTTTTTTATTTCACTGATGTTATGTTATTTTAACGACACAAAATAAAATACGCATTTACGACATTCATATAATTTTGAAAAGTGCCGTATGGCTAGACAATACAGCATATACAGTGTGTCTTTGCTAGCTTTACATGACTCACATACGGCTAGTATGTTTGGCTACAGTAGCCGTACGGGCCCGTACGGCTAGCCACTTCCATTCATAAACCACCGAAAACATGTATTAAAATTACTGTATACGGTACCTCATACATGTACGATAAATTAATCATTTTGATTCTTTGAATTTAATTCTGATGAAGAATCAGATATGTTCGAAACTGGTAGATCTTAATTAAAATATTGTCCATATTTATCCGGTATTGATGTGTGGTTTCTTTACATTCTTCCGTTTTAACCAATAATTTTAAGATAAAACTTCCCGGCACTTCCAGACACTTTATGAGTTTATCTCCTCCGGACAAAAATATTAACTAAAACACTATGAATATCATATGAACAGATAAATATGAGCCAATCTGACTCAAGCTTAACGTGTATAGAGTTGACTTAGGGCAGACTTATTTGAAATTCAATGGTTGGTCATGCCCTGATTCAATGCTGTTAATTATTACTTTAAGCCAAACTACTAGATCTTCAAGAATAATATCATGGCAGAATTTGAATATCTTAAAATAACACATGGTAATTAATTTATATTAATTCAAACAAACTTACCATGTTATGACTAGTCTAGAGTTGTATCCTTTTACGGTTTCACACACTTTAATATACAATCCCAGCTTGAATAACACTCCTTGCACAGAATTTGTTGAATTTAGGTATATTTATGTTCAACCAAACAAAAACTGTAATGGACAATTCATTCACAAAACAGTATATTGTTCGGCAAGTAAACAAATACCCCATCTTTTTATTCAGTGCAATATTTGATGACAATATTTTACATGTGTTAGTCAAAATGATCCAATATCCGAATTAATGCACAGTTTCACGGAAATAAAAATCAATCAAATTTCGGGAAATTGTTTGTCACTGCCAACCAATTCTTATAAAATCAATGTATCCGTATGCCGTAAAACAAATTAAATTCCATGATTAATAGAATAACACACTTAAATCCCACATTTGAATTATCCACGTTTCATCGATTCACATTTTCATTATGGCGGCTTTTATGAAAATATGAAAAGATCAATGGATTACCGAGTATTACTTCGCCGAATCTAAGTAAATAATACTTTTACAAAATGATGCAAAAATGATTTTTTCATCAAATTCATGCAGTCCATATTCGAATTCAAGAAGATGAGACCACATTAGTGGTGTATAAATTGAAAATTGGGCAATAAATATCCGAACACTTTTTTTTAACGTATTAGTAAATATTAACTCAGACGCGTACATATTGGGGCTCCAAACGGGAAAACATGAATCGCCAAAATGTTGAAAGTGTACTTAATTTATACATTCCCGAAAAAATAGCATAAAATAAAAAGAAAATGTGTTTGTTTTTAGTGTAAGATGACATTTTATTTATCTTGTGAGCTTTAAAAACAGTATTCTCAAAATTCTCAAAATATTGTAAAATTTCATCTTACACAAAAACAAACAAATATCCTCTATATAAACATTTTTGTTCATACAGGTACTTTGAGATACAAGTGTATATAGCTTTATAGACTAAAACAAACAAAGTCCCATTTTTTCTATAGAATACTTACAACTTGAGGAAAGAGCACTCCTTAGACTCATAGGTTCAACTTTCCATGACAATGAGCACGGGAATCTAAGTAATACACTGACGGTTGAAGAAATTTTTGATAAACATTGTTTGCTTTGACTGTCATCCATATATTTCAAAAGCGTGAGGATGCCTGTAACCGAGGAACAGGAAATTGGTAAAATGATACTCCCTATAAGAGGTTTGCCAACTCCGTCAGACAGGTCTTCTATATCACTGAACCATTCAATTAAATCATCTAGCAATTGTAGTGTAGGTTCTCCGTACCATTCAACCCTTTGTGTTATTATTCTTCTAATTTCATCGCTACGAATTGCAGTATCACTATATATTATCTCGACAAACTCAAACAGTAAGTCGTTGGCTTTCCTTTGCTTTTCTTCAGTATCACATTCGGCTTGTATGATTATTCTTAACTCTGAAGGTGATCATAAAATTTCCGAAATAGAAAAGAAATTACACACAGATCATTATAACATCATTATATCATTATTTATTTATTTAGAAGCATGCGTATCGTACTTTCAGTGTGTGGATTTAAGGAAATATTAAAGAAATGAGCATTTTACAGCCAATATGTTATTTTTCACATTAGGTATTTGAAATAAATATTAAAACATCAAAATGGTGGATTACCTCGTGAATATTTATATTTTGTTTTCCGCAAGTGTTTGTTTTGCAAGTCGGTTAATTTCCGAAGTATTATTTCCTGGTTTCCTGTCAAACACATTATTGTAATGTAGTGAAATCGTGAAAGTATATTAAATGGAATAAAAGGATATATCAATATTATACGAGGGGTATTCAAATATGAATGCAACTGAGTCAATTTGTAGAAGTGCTTAACAAACAGTGCCAAAATAAATCTCTAAATCCTTTAAAATATATACCACCATGTGAAATACAGAGTCCAATTTCTTAAATGCGTTTTCATAGTCTTTTCGGGGTATACTGTTTAGAAAATGGAAAAAAGCCGGACAGAGATTTTTTCGCATACGAGTTTTTCTTCAATTAAGGTGTTTTTGAGACTCGAAAATAGGAACAAATCACTAGGGACTAGATATGGCGAATAAGGAGGGTGAGGAAATCTACAACCGTTTCCCTGTTTCAGATATTCTCGTACAATGGCCGCTTTTTTTGACGAAACATTGCCATGCAACAACCTAACCAGTTACTTGTCGACCAGTTACCTGTCGATTTGCACTACCTGGATCCGAGGCTTGAATATTATTTAATGTGAAATATAATGAATTGGTACTATTTGATACTGTTCAAGTTATGACTACAGCTGAAATACTAAAATATTCTGAAAAATTTAATATATGGCGGCCATCTTTGATTTTGGCTGCCATATTGGATTCACACAATCCGGATCCCAGGCTTAAATCAAAAGTATTGTCTCAACCAACAACTGTGCCAAGTTTCATGCTTTTCACAAGAGGTCACAATTCCTTCTATTTTATGCATAGATTTCTTGGAGTATTTGGACTCCATATTATTTGAAACTTTTGTAGGAGGAAAGAGCATCTGAGAATTCCAATGTTATTCTACCAAATAAAATCGAATGTAGGTAATGTGACTTTGGGAATGTTTGAATTTTTACCCTTTGGCAACAATAATACACTGTTCTCAAACATGTTATAAATGTGATATAACACAAAATTCACAGACGTGGCTTATAATGTCAATGTAATCTGACATTGATCTACCATTATATGCTAAAATACTTATCAAATGCAATTATTCAGAGAATGTTGACATCCGATGTCTTGTTATCGAATTGTTATTAATCTTTCTTTGGTACAGAGACTATCGGAAAGATCAAAACAAATGTCAAGCATATATGTGGGAGAGTAACTCATCTAGAACGTTGCGTTAATGGCTGACCTTTATTTTCTTTAAATATGTGGCACTTTTTGACATTTTTTTTAATTAATGATTTTGATAAATTGAGTTAAAGTTTTTTTTAAACCACACTTTAGAATAAATTAAAAGAAACGCAAAGGTCAGACAAACAAAATTTAAAGTCGTTACCGGATCTGATGTAATATGTGATCCCGTTCTGGAGCTACTTTGATATCTATCAGTTTCAGTTTCAGAATACTTCTCTAAAGCCTACTATATTGACGAATAAACTGATTAAGCAACAACAACAGAAAACTGTGTGTACGTGCTTTATGACAAATATGTGATTGATACCAATAAGCTTTGTTGCACTTATTTATCTTAGCTGTTGAACATAAAATGCAATATTCCACAATTGTCATATTGTATCAGTCCCACAAGTTATTTAAATCTTTAACAATTTAAGTTCCCTAAAAACCTTTTCCATACGGAAACTATTAGATAAAAAGGTATGAGCATTACTAGGATAAATGTTTTGTATACACACCAAAATTCATAAATAGCAACAATTTTTCACAGCAATCCTGCAAGTTTTTGATTACTTGCTTATGCCCTGATTATTTAGTGATCCTGACTTTGTTTGAAATAAAAAAACAAAATGCAAATTTAGATATAAACTTTAAATTTGATTAAAAAAATGTCATCCTTGTCGTACTGACAGTAAAGTCAAGCTACTTCTATTTTTAAGTTTAGCAATATGCTTGCTGATTAATACTTATCGTACCTCTTTTCAAGAAATTGTTTGTTTGTTTGTTTCATTTTACACCTTTTCCCAACAGTATTTCAGTCATATAGGCGGGTAGTTTCCCAACCATCGTTCCTGGAGAGTTACAACAGTACTTGACTACCTTCCTCCGCGCTAAACTACCAAAGCATCTCCCGCCAGAGAGGTAACTGGATTAGAAGTCATCGACTCTAACCCCTCGACCTTCGAGACGGTTTTCAAGAAATGTATGCACAGTTACACACTACTTTGCAAGAATTGTACTATTAATATTTGTATTAAGAGTAGGGATGTCTTAAAATGAAGGTTTTAGCACTTTAAAAAATGAATTTATGTAAGATTATTTTAAGTTATCGAAATAGAGAAATTAAATATATATTCAAAATCTATAAAGGAAGACCACTTGCAAAAAGTATCAGGTGCATACATAATGAAACTAGATAGTCTAGTAGAGTTTCTTGTTGATATGCCAAATTATCGGTATAGTGAAATTTAGAAAAGGAAATTTCACAGGAACGAATTTAAATAAGGTTACCTAGTGAGGATACCAAGTTCTTTGTACCGATATGTTCATATGCCATGCTTGAAGCTTTTGGTACATGAAAAAAATTATTCTGATAAAGGTGTTTAATCAAATTTACCGTAATACAATAGATACACTTTTAACCCATTCTGACAATATAAGCAGTTAATTGCTATGAAATGGTATTTGTCTTTGTAAGCAAGTATGTAGAATGTATTAATTTGTATAGTTCAAAATAACAATTAGACCATTCTGGAGTCATAACAATGAAAATTACGTGCATTACCTTGAATAGAAGAGACTTTTTCATTGACGCAGTGTACCATGTCTTCCATAGCTGACAAGAAACTTGTCTTGAAGTCATAAATCTCTTTAATGAATGTAAAGATGAAATCTGAATCAATTCTGCCTGTTGCCGTTCTTTTGATAATATTTTCGATTTCAACTATCCCATTTATTCCTGATGCAATTTGTCGTAAAGCCTGCTCTAGTAGCTGTCGATTGCTAGAATAATCTGATGCATTCATAGACAATTGTGTCGGATGTCCTTGGAAAGCATTCCGATAGGTCTTCAAAGATTTCAGATAAGCACTTTCTGAAAGGGACAGACCTTTCCAAAAAAGTCGTTTAAGCACAACAAATATTAGAGTCATATCCCAAGTGTTAATATCTGCGTTTACTGTCGTAGGGGTAGGAAACAAACGATTTTGTTGTTCCTTTAAAACATCGTTAAACTGAGCTCGTCCATTATGCAGAAGAGTATCGAGTGTGCTACCGCTCTTTGTTGCTTCTCTAAATACAACACCTCGTAATACAAACAAACCTCCCTCGCCTAGCAGCCATAGGTATCTCAAATACCTCTCTTCATCTAACGATGCCATTCTACAAGTTAAATTTAAGATGCTACAGTATGACATTATGTGCTTTTTGTATTTATCAGATATTTGTGTACAACCGAGATTTTAAGAAACGGCTTTTTTCATTTTTGAAAACAACGCAATACAGAGTAATTCTTTGAAACTATTAGCAAAGTGTAAAACTGATATAGAAATAAATATTAACTGAAAAATGTACCTTTTAATACATTTTATTATTATTTTGATAACTATGCACACTCAAAACGACACAACACTTAATATTTGTTTCCATTTCCCGAAACAACGCATTTCTACTTTTCACCTCATAGATCGAGGAAATTATTATAGACTTATACACATTTTAATCTACTATCGATAAAAATATAAACATTCCCTACACACTTTGTAAAATCCATTAACTTCAGTAAAGTATTGAAGAGATCTTTTGCCAAATCCTTATGTTCTATAGAAGAACTGTATTAGGACGATGTCATTCCATTAGAATTGTAAAAAGCCTAAATAAAACTTTGTATCTTATATTTTAGACCGTTATCCTTATAACATGTTGAATAAAGTACTTATTAGGATTGTATTCATCCTAATTAAACTCTTATGTAGTAGTAACAAATTCTTAATAGGAAACAACGCCCTAATTAGGATTAAATTTTTCCTTATAAGGATTATTCATATTTATAAATTTTTAACAGGAGAATTATAGTTACTTCTTCTCATTAGGCTTTTGAAATGTTCGATTACGGGTTGATAAGATCTAATAACTTAAAGGCTTTTGCAATTTCTAATAATGAATTCATTTTATAAAACATTGAGATTTGGCACCAGGACGGTCCCGTAGTTAGCTATGTGATTATATATAAACAGACAAAATGTTTAGATATAAGCGCTTTGATTTTATTTATAAATGAAATCGTTGAATACCTTTACAAGAAGCACAGTCCTGCATATACGGTAAATGGCAAAATTATGTCAACGATAACAACTTCCTCTTCTTAAATGCATTACTGTTGTTAATACAATGTATATTATAATCCTCGTTTTTTGTAACTTCAATATTTTGTCTTGTATCTTACACTGTATCTCACAGCAGAAACGAGGTCATTAAAAGCGGAAAGTCTTAGCTAATATTATAATAATTGATACATTTGTACACAGCACAACATATACGATATCGCAAATGAATTTAACTCAAGACATTCAAATATCATTTTTTTGTTGTTGAAAGATTCGCGATACCATTTTGATGTTATAATAATTTTACTTTTATTTAAGAGTTGCAAACCCTAATAAAAATCTTAACGTAGAATCTTTTGGTTTGCTTGCGATTTTCCCCTGATAGCTCATTTCGAGTAAGCAACATACTCGATTAGGTTAAGAAAGTTTTTGGGTTCAGATTCTTGTCCAGACAACTCAAATTTTAAATGTCGCTTTAGTGATGTTAACATGTTATCTGAAGAACTTCCTATTCCTATCCGTTATCCATAAAAACGTATAAAGGTCAAGAATGTTGTGTACAAAGTAACGAAATATTTCATCTTTAAATAGAAAAATACAAGAATTGTGTTTGTATTTGCATTGTTCAAATATCAATTTCATACTAATTTCATTAACTTGCTAACTTACTTTATTCCATGTGCATATTATTTGCTTCGTAAATGAACATGTTAAACTTTGTTTGTCTTTATGTACTCGTCATATTTTGCAAATTATAGTAGTTGTTAGTAGTTGTCCTTTTGGTATCAGTATTATTTCATACCATGCATTTTGTTACTGATTTGGTATAAATGTTAGATAAAGCAGTTATATTTATCGGCAACAGAGGAAAATAAAATTTCATATAATGTTCAAGACACATTTTCATAGAAACCTTAATTATTAACGCTGCACCTACACTTTAATTATAGATATTATTGATTATTGGCTTGCAGCCACGGCTGCAAGCCATCTGTTTTGGAAAAGTTGTTCCGGTTAGGTGGTTTCCTGCTTACATTTGTTAGTGCATGATTGAACGGGAAACCAGCTACAATCGTACCAATCGCAACTTTTCGGCCCTTTCCGTCACTCTTCGGATTAATGATAACAGCCGATGTAGTTCCGATTGCAATCGTGACAATTCGGGCGATTCCGTCATACTGCGGAATCAGACGAAGTAATACTACGGAAATCTAAGCTATTTTAGTTACTTCGGTAATCCCAGTTTGTTTATATAAATAGAATTTCTATTTTTACTTGATTTATCGGTTTTAACCGTAATAAATTGTAAACGAAATTGTTCCGTTTCAATTCTTTTTCAAGACGCAAAAGTTAGTTTCTTTTATAATTGTTTTTTTTGTCTGTATTAGTTTTATACAACAGAGAACGGTTACTGTAGTAGTATTCCGTCTCCAAAGGGTGGTCCTGCTTACCAAATCACACAGAATATTAGTGCATGATCGAGTTATATTTAGATCTACTGAACGCAATTCAACGTCTTGGTGAGGTAATCTAAAAATAGCCCATGCATATCATTAACCTTACCACGTGCTGATCTACAGATAGCGCATCGTATCTGTGATCGTGTAACATAGTTGATACATGCTTATTAATTGGTACCACGTAACGAAGTATTTTAGTGCATTTACTTGTCTATAAAGCTGCTATATAAATGAAATTAGCAACGATTGATTATTTTCTTTATTAGTTTTATACAGTAGAGAAGAGATTTCAAATCGTTTTGACAAAAAATATTCGTTTTTACAAAAAACAAACAACTTAATAAACCCTTTATGATATATATACCGTAATTCAAAAAAATTGTGGTAAGAAGTTGAAAAAAAACAAACACAATTTTAAATGGTTGGGATGAAGGCACAACTGACTTTTAAAAGGAAACTTTATTTTTTTATTCATTTGTAATGTATAAGTTTCATTTTACTGTACCTGAGCAAGGTATTTTCGTGGGAGATGTGACACATAAAACATATATATCATCTGTTCTGTCTCTGATGCCTTACTTGAATGTTTTTATAGACCATCCTAAATAATCTCGTTTAAGCATGCGAATATGTCAGTATCACAGACAGAACCTGAAAGCATTGACAAATACACATTAAATATCATCACCCATTTTGTGTCTGTATTTATACTTACTTAATGGCTATCAGAGTATTATTTTGGAAGATATGCATCTAATCCTTGCACGTCTGCTGAAAGCAACTCTTTATTGACTCATCTTTTGTATCTTCTATCTCTGAACTTATGAATAATGGGCTAAATATTATGTGTTTAAATATTTAAAGACCTAGGCAAAGGCATGATATACTTGAACTCGAAACACTACCATATGATATCCTTATTTTTAAACCTGGTTGCGTCATAGAGCGCACGCATAGTTATGAACTTGATTTACCAAATTTTAAATGCCCGGTATGTTGCGCCAGTACAGACAGGCTCGGTGGTGGAGTAGCGATTTATGTCAGACAAGGCGTAAGATTTCATGCAAGATCTGATTCATATGAATATGGTATCGAATGTGTTATGTTGAATATTCGTAAACTTCTTCTACGTGGTATTTATAGTCCCCCAGACTCTTACAATCAGCATTGTCTCCGTCTTGAACAGTGTATAGATCAAGCATTATCTGAGAAACCTGACAATCCTCGTTGCCGGCGATTTTAACATAAACATATTAAATTTTAATTTCAAAGAAACTTTCTAATCTTATAACCTCTAAAAATGCAGAACAACTATTACTACACCAACCCACTGTACAGAAAGCTCTTGTTCACAACTCGATGTCATTTTCGTAAAGAACACAATTCACATCTGGAGACTCATTAATACTATAAGTTATTCGCTTTCACTGTCAAATTTTATTACTAATGAGTTTTTCGAAACCAAAGGGTACAACAAACAAACACAAAATGGCTTAACGATAGGGGTGATTACTCTGGCTACAGAAATATAATTAACTCAGCAAACTGGCAATCCATAACAAACACTGACAATAAAATACCAGGTAGATGAAATAGCTAACCGAATAACAAATATCATTTTTAATGCCGCAAACAAACGTATTCCTTACAAACTAGTAACAATAAGACCACATTCCATTGATGAAGAACAAAATTTATTAACTAGTAAGAAAACGCTAAAGGGAAAACTGATGAATACGCAGTGATCTTTGAAACGATTTAGAACAATCAGAAATTCGGCTACCACACAAATCCTTTTGCACATGATCAAATATTGACGTTCTTTACTCACAACTCCTAGATCTAAACTTGCGATCAAACTCCTCTCTTCCACAAATTTCAATAACAGCAGATATGATAATGTCAAAGTTGCTATATCGTTAATTGACCCATCGAAAGCCAGATCTTAGTGAAAGAATGATCGACTATTCTATCAAAACCACTGTATGACTTTTTCAACATGTTACGTTTACAATCTACCTCTCCTACTTATCGGCAAATGGCCAATTTCACTGCTTTATTTATAACGAATGATCCATCTAAGCCTTCGAACTATCGACTAATTTCTCTATAAAGCTGCATATGTAAACTAATGATTCTGTTACACAACATTTGGCAATTGGATACACCATAATTTATTTTTGAATAATACGACAACGACGGTAATATTTACAGAATACATATATAAGATAAGCGGTACATTTTTAGGTATCCAACAAGTTACTGAGTCAATCCTTTTTTTACGGAGAGAAAAGATTAGGGACAGTATAGAGGAAGTATTTGATCAAGCAAAATATATTAAATCCATATCCCAGAATGCGTTTTTGAATTATTTAAATACTGTAAAAGAAACAAAGCTTAAAGATTGTCAGTATAAGACAATAAATTGATGCTTATGAAAAATGCGTTTTTTAATATCGAATATATATTAAAAATAATGATTTATGCTGATATTGTAAAATTGATAGAGAAAGAATTGAACATTCATTCTATAAATGCCCGTACACCAATACTTTTCTTTTAGAATTGAAAGAGTAAGTATTTAGTCGAATTTGATATTTCAGACATGAAAGGCATACTGTTCTCCTATTATGGAAAAACATTCTACTTCGAATTATTAGCAATGTGGTATGTTTATATAAAAAAAATAGAGAAAATTGTCAAAATTTATAAATAATAATTATGTTTTTAATATTACACGCACGCCTTCTTCGTTTGGATTGTTGCTTCCTGAACTTTGATCTTCATAACAAGTGAATTATCTAGTCTGTTGTGAAATAGAGACAGTGCAACACTTTTTCTTTTACGCCTTAGATTTTACGATATTATAAGAAGCATGCATTTACGCCCCCTACCAGGTCCCCCTGACACTTTACAATCTCTTGTACAGGGATGACCGCATGAGCTTTAACCTGAACGAAAAATTCATTCCTAAAGTTCATCAGTTTAAACAAGCTCAAAAACGTTTTACCAACTAATAACCACTTTTTCTGTTATTTCCCTTAAATATTGTGTGCCAACTTATATTTTCTATTATTTATCTTAAGTCTTAACTTAATATAGGAATTTTTAATTTTTTGTCTTCTTTTTCTTCGAACATCTATAGATAGATGGATGGATGGACGGACGGACGGACGGACGGACGGACGGACGGACGGACAGACAGACAGACAGACAGACAGACAGACAGACAGATAGATCTCCATTTGAATAATTAAATTATTTAATCCTTGTTAAAACAATATTTTATTGTGCAATAGAAACTGTTTGGAGTAATCTCCTTATATTATAGATAATCGACAAAACTATTCTACTTCATTGAGCTCTAGGCAACAATGTTTCAACAAATTAATTTATTATAATTATTTATCTGATTTGCTTTTTACTGTATTATTCTAATCAAATATGGGCACAAGTACCTTAGGTATGGAAAGGAATTTACATAATTCATGCGTGATTTGTTTCCATACATTACAAATTATGCTTTTTTGAATTTATAATATTGATAAATCTTTCACATTTATGATATAAAGTTATAAAAAATTGATTTACTGGATCTTCAAACCAATCTCATGGTGTGTTTTTTTCCCTTTTTTATTTGTTATTTATAAAAGGAGCCTCACCGAGGTATAAAAACGGAACACATAAATGTTTAATTCCAACATACATCTAGTGAATAACTTGAATTGAAAGATCTGTGAAATATATTAAAGGAAGATATTCATAATCATATCAACTTCGATTTGTTTGAGTGATTCCTTCCCCGATATAAATGCAAAGCGTTTCTACGCCTTCCATTGGATGTCATTTTGCAATATAAAAATATTATTCTGGAAAGAAACAGAGCTAGGAAATGATATAAAAACTTGTACACAAGTTATAATGGTTCAGACTTACACAATCAACATAATTCTCTTAAAATAAGGACTATAAGAAACAAAGTAGAGTGGTCCCTTTAGGAAAATATATAATTTTACCATTTTTGCGAATATGAAAATAAATATATAATACAACTCACCAAACACTTCACATCACATCACAGATATTTTAATATTTCTTTTTCAGAATACCTGTTTTGTTTTTAAGATAATGTTTAGTTTTATGACCTAAATTTCTTATCTCATTTATTTGTATAAATCCCTGACTGAAGTGATCAGATTATTTATCTATTCAGTGTCATACCGTTTAACATATGATCGGATAAAACAGCTCGACGAAGGAATGTTTTCAAATACATGACATTTATGTTTTACATTTGCAAATCACTTAAAACCTACAAAACGTAAATACATTTCTCCCGGTTTTTAAAAATGACTTCAGCTTTCTAGTAGAATATAAACATGTATAAAGATAAAGTACGAAGATGAGCTTTAACATGAATGAAATTCTTTATGAACAAGAATTTGTAACAGAGTTACCAATGTCCCCCGCCTCGGGAAGTTTTATATGAAGCATAGAATTGTGCTATTTCAAAAGATTGAGGTATGGATCTCAGGACATTCAGTCCAAAATTATGATCAATGCTAGATCTGCAAATGCAACAAATTGTTAAAAAAGTGAAACACGGAATTTAAAAATATATCATGTTTAGCTTTAACCTCTAAGTGTGACCTTGACCTTGGAGGTAGGGGAGCAGGTGTTGTGCATGACATAACGTCTTATTATTGAGACTATTTGTGCCAAGTATGTCCAAAATCTCTTGAACTATGAAGAAGTTATAGATTGGACACAAAATATACCCTATAACAGACTATGTAAAACTTTGACCTCTAAGTGTGACCTTGACCTTGGAGGTAGGGACACAGATGTTACGCATGACATATCATCTAGTAATTGTGACTATTTGTGCCAAGTATTTTTAAAATCCCTTTATCTATGAAGAAGTATTGGACGGGACACAAAATATACCAAATAACATACTCTGTTAACTTTTAACCTCTAAGTGTGACCGTGACCTTGGAGGTAGAGGTGCAGGTGTTGTACTTGACATATCGTCTTATTATTGTGACTATTTGTGCCAAGTTATTTCAAAATCCCTTGAACTATGAAGAAGCTCTAGATCTAACACAAAATATACCCTATAACAGACTATGTTAATTTTTGACCTGTAAGTGTGACCTTGACCTTGGAGGTAGGGATGCAGGTGTTGCGCATGACACATCCTCTTATTATAGTGACTTTTTGTGCGAAGTATTTTCAATGTCCTTTGATCTTTGAAAAAGTTATGGACCAGACACAAAATATACCCTGTAATAGACTATGTATATATTTGACCTCTAAGTGTGGCCTTGACCTTGGAAGTAGGTGACCGGTTCTAGCGCATGACACATTGTCTGATTATTGTGAACAATTATGGCAAGTATTTACAAAATCCCTTCATAGATAAGAAAGTTATTGACCGGACACGAAATATACCATCAAATAGACAATGTTGACCTTGAATGAGCAAGTGCGACCTTGACCCTGGAGGTAGGGGTCTGGTTGTTGCGCATGACACATCGTCTTATTAGAATAAACATTTGTGCCAAGTTATTTCAAATTCTTTTCATAAATGACAAAGTTATGGACCGGACACGAAAGTGTGACGGACGGACGGAGCCTATTTCTATATCCCCCTTTTTTCTTCGAAAAGGCGGGGGCAATAAACATAACTTACCTGTTACGTCGTCTTCCTTTCCATGTCGATACTTATATACTATAACGTCATTTGTGGAAAAAAAGAACAAGCGTGCCGCTTACGCTTACAAATTCTTAATCGAAACATCTCGGCTATTATAATATTTCATAATAACCCGGACTTATTACATATTAAAAGTGTATCACGTGGTTTAAAATGCAAAGATAAACAGAGGGTGTTATATTTTATAATGTATATAACGAATGTATATATTTGAAATATAAAGGGAAATAAAGTCTTTTTCTGTAAAATTATGACTGCAAAAATATCTGACAATTATAATCAAAATACCCACCGATGTACATTTATAATTAAATCCGAACTATTTCAGCAGGTAGACATTATATATGTTATGTTTCTACAATTATGATCATAAATATGTAAATAGATAAATACTCTTTAAAGTGTGTAAAGCTATATATATGATGCAAAAATTATTGCTTGAATTAAAAAAAAGTTTACTCCCAAAATGCTTGTATGAAATAAATATGGTAATATATTGTCTTCAAAGTGAATGGCGTATGCACAAAATCACTGCTAAACGGATAAAACCCTACTTAAAATAAAGTTAGTTTGCATGTCTTCATCTGCTTATAACACAAATTTAAGTCATTGCAATCATAGATCAAATGGATACATTTTACAATATATCATCAGTTATGCAACCCATAAATTAAAATTATATGTACATAAGATATTTATGTATTGTTATATGTCAGTGATATGTAATTTTGACCAAAAAAAAAAAATACCGAAATCACATGTGAAAACATTTGTTACTATTATTCCTAAGTAAAGAACACCACAAGAAGCGGCAACAATTGGTAATTCTTTATTTTCAAACGCTAAAAAATGTAATGTTTAACGTTAAAGGAATTTTATCCAGTCCATTTTTATTTTTGGGATATATTTTAATTACACCAAATGAGAGTTTCGTCCTTAGTGTATTATCCTAGTATAAACCAAATTAAACGATAATTTGTTTTAGAAAATTGATTCATACTTTTTTAACAGCTTGAAATATGTAAAACCTTATCCAATAATAATCAAATTTTGCCATTAATCGAGGTCATACTTGTAAAAAGGTGGGTTTGTTCTAGGTAGTGTTTTGTCGAAGTATAAATCACATCCGTAAGTAATATAATCATATTAAGCACTTTCATGACAATTCAATGGTTTTACTTTCTGATTATTCCCGACGGACATTCTTATATCGGCGAACACATTGGCAAACGCCACTAATCGGGCAGTGCAAAATTGATCTAAAAAAGTGATGTGTATGGTTTCTTTGTTACGTTGTTCGTGTTTTAATATATAACTTTAACATAATGTTATTAAGAATTTTCTTACCCAGATCAAAATTGTCTAGGTAAATTATTTGACAACACTATGTCGTTTACATAAAAGTTATTTTAGACAAATAAGCAACTTGATGTACCAATATTCAATTCATGTGCATGCCATATCTTCAAAAATCATTGTTAACATATTTCAAAACTGTTACATTAGAAAAATAGTTTTATATTAAATCAATTTAATAAACTGTTATTGTTTTTTTTGTCTTATGTAAATGCGAAAGAAAATAAAAAGGAATGCTTTAATGTATCTATTTTATTTTATTTTTTATTTGATTCTATGAAGTTAAACAATATTTTCTTGTCAAATCTGTTTGTCTAAAAATATCCTAAAAGCTATTTTCTTGTGTGTACAGGTATGAAAAATTAGATTAATAGGGTTTTAATGAATTTGATTTCAAAATAATTATATAAAAAGTAAATTTAGAAAAACGTTTATGTAAGACTTAGCAAAATGATATGAAATATATTTTATAACATATGTTAATAAATTCAAAGAACACCAAAAATTCAAAGAACACCAAAAGACGGGGAAATCCGTTTAATTATCTTTTTAATGTATCTAACGTTAATAATATAAAGAAATTATCACATTATGTTGGAAGCGAGCGACAATGATAATGACTTTTTTCATCTTAAAAAGTGCTAAATCTGTCGGATATCTCCGATATTGACATATATAATAAACCTTTGCATATTAACCTTTACATAACAGTGGTATGAATGTATTGAAGACGGAGGATTTAGAGCAAGATAGTTGGAGGATGGTATTTAGAGGGACATCTGGCAATGGTCATAGCGTGTATCATGCTTGGATTGACGGTACTTTTATCCCTAATAGCAATGATTATCTCAACAATCCACGTTTTATTTATTATTTGCATCGCTTACTTTTCTTCGCAAATTTTATTTTCACAAAGCTGGTTTCAAATGTGGTGTGTCAGCTGTTATTAGTTGCTATGTACTTCACTTCAGTTTTATTATATTTTTACAGTCAATCGGAGTCATGAATTGCAATACATTGTATTGTGTTAAATATCTTATACACATTAAGGCGGTAAATTGACCATTTACTGTCATGATCGGACTAAATCAAAATTGTTCTCATTACTCTTGAGGGATCTCCCTTATTCAAGACAGTAAGCAAGGCAAACAAGTAGACAGGACACTTAGAAAGTCAAATGAAATAGCTTAACATAGAACATCTAAAATATTTAAAAAAAGAAAAGAAATACCCCGCCCCCCATTCAACAATACGAATATTTAAAACGTTATCAGTCTTCTCGGTCTACCAAAATATTATCATATCTGACTAAACAAATCTTCCTCCTAAACAATGTCATATCAACCGGAAACTCTCTTTCAAGATATCTTCCTGGTGTAGATAAATATCTACGTTTCTTCCGTGTCATACCCATGTTAAAACTATCATAAGCTGCTTTAAAGATGTTGTATACTTAAATAAAGTACTGAAATTGATAAAACTATAATGAAATATAACCACAATTTAAAAATGTAAATTGTTTTTAATGCTATGAATTTAATAGTGATTGATTAACTTTTTGAGCATTTTTTAAACACATTTAGTTTTGCAAATATGCATTGATGGATTCAGTTTTGTTCTTTTATCAACATTGTAAATTGAATAGTCAAAATGTATAACGAATAAAAAAAGCATTAGACACACCGCTGTAATTGTAAGCCTTTCCAATAGTGTTATTTATTAAAGTGTATAAAGCTATATACTGTATCTGCTGCAAAAATCTTTGTTTGAATTTTGAGAAAGAAGAATACTTGCAAAATGCTTGTATGAAATAAATATGGTAGTTAATTGCCTTAAAAACGAATTGCGCATGCACAAATCATTGCTAAACGGATAAAAACAGCAAAATATTATTTCGTTCCGGAACGTTTTATTTTGTTTATGTACATTATCCATGTGTATTAAATATTAGAGACATTCTATGTTACAACCTTTTTGGGAATCAACCATATAATCATGAAACCAACATAATTTTACTGTTTATAAATTTTATAAAAATATTTCATACGATATAGATTTATACCCTTTAAAGTTGTTTCATTTTTGTATGTATGTTTACTTAATTTATCTCCTTCTTTACCAACATTTCATTTATAGCATGTTAAAAATGGACAGTATATAGAGTGTTATTTTATGTTTCGACATTTTCAGGAAAGAATTCAAATACAGACAAACCAGTTTCCATGAAACGTTCTCATGGTTAACACTTTCGGGATAACATCTTAGACAACTGGTCAAACCTTGGTATCAAGCTGGTTAAATTTGCGTTCTATGATACTGACAGAGAGGTAGCGTACGTGATCTTCAACGGGATGGACAGCAACATACACAACTGGTTTGATAGGAAACGTGTTATTGATTCAAGCTGGACAGACCTGACGTAAAAAAGTGTCTTCAACTATTTCTCTATTGCAGGTCATTACATCGACAAGATACATGATCGTCGTTTCTACATCAACAGAAATTAGGCGGATGTCCAAATGACCGTGGTCACCTAATAGTTATTAATTCTGCTGTTGCCGCTCCCATATGTTTGTTTGACAGCCAGCCATCCAACGTTTATGTATTCAAAGTATAATTCGGTCGACTTCTTCCTGAGAAGAATGTTTGGTATCGCATACTTCATGGTGGTTTTCATACAGACAAGGGTTTAATTGACTAAATGTAAACACCATAGTGTCAAAATACAGTAATTTGTTCAACACTTATAAGAACACAAACCATTTGCAATTGTTATTTCAATGACATTTTTTCTGTTATTTAAACTGTTTAATGTATTGCTGTGTTACGTTTATGCAATGTTTCTTTTTTCTGATGGCATTTTATAGCATACAAAAGTTAGAATTGTAGGACAGTTATGTTACTACACCAATTGTTCACAAAGTCTTCTATGTAATGATCTCGAATAAATGCTTAGCAACATCTTTACAATACATGATATTTCCTAGCGTAATTCAGGTTTACAACTTCTAAGCATCATAAATTGACAAAAAATGTCCACATATATCGATTAACAAGGAACGAAAACGAGAGACTAGTCAATCAAGTATAAGTTATAGAGCAATACGTGACGGTGATTTTTCATAAACTAACGGCGATACTGCAAAACTACATTACTTAATGTTATTTGAGTATTTTACAGAAAAATCTGGATAACAAATACATTTGTTTTAATTTCTCGCTAATTGAACTTTTTAAAAATTTAAACATAACCACAATTTAAAGATGTAAATTGTTTTTAATGCTTAATGAAGCACAGTTGGTTTAATAAGAGTCGTGTTATTGAATCAAGCTGGTCAGACCTGACGTCTACAGGTATCTTCAACCAATTCTTTATTCAATGCCATTCGTACGGAAATTATATTTTAATTTCCTGAACAGAAGACAAACAAGGAAGTGGCTCCTATTGTGATATAATTTTAATAGATTACCAAACAAAGGACATTATTTCTTTCTCATTTTGTTTTTTGTATTTTTGTTAATACAGACACATCAATCTTTATTACTTACTTACTTATTTTTACGTATATTATGACATAACTATTATGGCGACATGTTTCCAAGTGTTTGCACGTGCTGAAGATGTTTCAAAAATTGCCAGTTTATTAAATCCAGATTTTATCCATATCATGAACGCAAAGTTAAGGTTTCAAATTATTAAAAAATGAAAAGTACAAAGCGTATTTATTAAGGGATAACGACATTTGCATATTTAACCAATTCTACTGTTACATCAGTTAAAAAAACAGGAAGATAGAATTAAGTATTTGATTACATTATGATTGTGGCACTCCAAACCTGCGTCCGAGATAAAGCAATACTTTGACTTCTGGGGTATGTTATTCTCTGACAGAGATCCTGCACTGTCGTGGTAGTTATAATAGTAAAATTCGGACTTCATTAAAGATTCCACAAACGTTTTTAAAAACATTTAAATAAACTAAAGGGCATCCGAATCAAAGGTACCTTTTTTTGCTTAAAAGGACTCGTTTTAGGTCTTATACATTTAGTCTTAATTATAAAATCTGGAATAGTTTCACACATTAATCGGTACAGTTAGGATTAAAGATTATACTTGAGTGAAAAGCGCTGCAACGCTTTATAAATTTATTTAAACTCTTGAAATGTAATTTTGTCCCCTTATTGTAAAAGAAAACCTTAATAGAGTCCCTTAAGGTGAGAATACTGATTTGGAGCACGGGAGAGAAGATACGTATTATTTAAAAATGGGTATAACGATTTACATACGTTCGTTGAAAAACAAATTCCTTCAAATTCACGTCTAATTAATTTTAGTTTAATGTTGATTTTTGGGGATTGGCTTTTTGTAAGCATGTAATACACATGAATGTTTGATAAAGATATATATTACGTACATGTAGATTAAACTTCTCTTGGTATGTTATACAGGTTATAATACTCTTTGACTTTGTATGATAAGAAGGACTATTTGTAAAATGAGATTGATTCAGTGTACAGACTGATATACCGAGATCAGCTGAAGTGGTTGTTACGCTGGATTGTTTGAACAACTCATTGATAAAAAGAGATTTTTTTGTTGGGTTTAACGCCACACCAACATAGAATAGGTCACATAGATTTCCAGCTTTACTGGTGAAGTAAGAAAGACCTCAAAAAGAGAAAAAAATAATATTAATCTTATTAAATAGTGAAGTAACCGAATAAAAAAAAAAAAAAAAATGGATTTTTTTTGCCATCTCGTTGTTATCATTGTACAGTTTATTAACAAATATTATTATTTTCTTATTCTTATTAATGTAATATTGAAAAATAATGATGCAATAATGCATTTTCCAACTTTTATAAAAATGATTGTTTTTCTTACAATCAAATCTCTACCAAAAAAAGAGTAGGCATTCGAGTTCTGTCCCTTTATGTGCTTTGTGTCTTCTTTATGTACTAGTAATGTGACTGTGTATGAAACATATATATGAAAAATATCTAACTTGATATTAATCGAAACTAGGCACGGCATTTAAATAAAACCTTATCCACTTAGAATAGTTACACCCTCCAAAACACACACAGCATAATGATTCATGTCATTAAAGCATAGAAAAGGCAAGATACTTTTTGTTATTTACTAATTCTTTTGTAAACAAATTAATTTGATATTCTTTTTTAATCTAGCCTCATGTTTGATTTGGCAATGTTTCTTGCTTAATTAAGTAAACACGGAAGTTTGACCATAAAAAAGATATCATTTGCTTTGCTTATCTTTTCCTACAGGATTTAGGTCTATTTGCAATAGGTTTTCGCGACAATCATATTGACTTGTTATCCTGATTAAATTTTAAATCTATGTGTCAATTTATCATTTCCCATTAAATGCTTTTAATAGCGCTTGATCATTTTAATAACATATATATGTTGGCTTTTTCCAATGCTAACAAGAGTGTATTTGTTTGTATATTATCATTTTTTAACTAATTTGTATGGTGAAAACACAATGTCTTGTGTATTTTTATATATTTGTTAGCATATAAAAAATTGATGACCTGAGTATATTTTTTTAAAAAAAAAAAGACCGATTCCAAGCAGATATCCTTGTGTTTTATGAATGGACGTGAGTTCACTAAGATTTTACAAGTATTTTGTATAATAGTCTTATGAATAGATTGTCTTACTGCAATGGTCAGGAGGTTTTCAGCACTGAACAATAAGATGATTAAATAATACTTACTTTTAAGTTGAGTGATGTAGAAAGTGTCTGTCTGCATATTCAACGAAAACGATAATGGTACAGATATGTTGTAAATTTAAATTTCTTAACACAGTACAATTTTATGTTGAATTAACTGGAGAAAAAGTATGTAATACACTCTTTGTACAGGTTTATAGACACAGTTAAGATTTAAGCAAAATGACGGAAACATTACTATTAAGGGGCAATGTGAAATGTTGAATCTAACTAGAAAAAAAAAAAAACATAATAATAAACTCTTTATACAGGTTTCTATACTCAATGTAGACTTTACCAAAATTGAGGAAACATTACTGTTAAGTAGTGATGTGAGAAGTTTGTCTTTATAAGATTATTGTAATCTTATCAACGCTTATTTTTTTCCTTTCAGGAATGTGCTGGTAATTGTGGTGTGAATGCGGTGCATTTTAAATGATGGTAAAAAATGAGATAAAGAAATTCTCGTTGATTCTGGTGTTGATCTTGGCATAAAATAATTGACGAAAAGATAAAGTCATAGTCGTTTGCATTGTCAGTTTTTTTGTATTTTATGATAAATACAGGGTTGAAAAGGGGCTGTACTTTGGCCAATGTTATTTTAATTTTGGCAGTGTGGTAAAAACAAAGAGGCGTAACATACATTTTCAATGGGTGATTATGCTTCATTCTTAAACATTATATTAAGTAACGTTTTGCTATTGGTTTGAAAGTATTTATAAAGTTTGAAAGCAGTCGAATACACCAGACGTTATATCGATACCTTTAGTTCACTAGAAATTTCAGAGATGATTTCTTCATGGACTTTTTCCGTTTTCCTCGCTTTGGGCATTATCAAATTTGTTCAACCACATTCGTTGGAGAATTCAGCTGGCAGGTAAAGACAAATTCTATATAGTTATATACATAACTTTGAACTTTAGCGCTTTTTTTATTAAATGATTAAGCCTCTTATGTTATTTATCTATCTTATTATTGTCAAAATCTCTCGCAGGTGTTACAGACAAGGCTGTTCATCAATGTGATAATAAGGAGATTAGTTTGAAAATATCTGAGCTAAAGGAAATAAGTCTTAGATGATGAGCCTGAACACAAAGCTTCACCCAATTTTAACTTTTGCTTGTACAAGGGTTAATTGATAAACGCACGGCATTTTCCTCTCTAAAAGTGTATAAAGGGACAAACCTTTATTTTTTTCTTCTGCTGCAACCAATGCACTAAGCAATCTCAAGGAGTTAATGTAATTCTATATAACATGACAACAACCATAAAATAAGTAGGATAAGATAAAAATAAATAAGTAAATAATAGATTAAAATGATCAAAACAACAATTATTATATCATTTTGTTTAAGTTACGTTAATAAATAGTGAAGTTATGACATTGAATTATTTTGTCTCATATTTTCATATAAATGTGTTTATCATTCATATATGTCTGATCTGTGTTCATAATTGTATAATCATATTTTGATTTTCAACATTCACATCTCAGTGGTATGAATATATTGAAGACGGAGGATTTAGAGCAAGATGGTTGGAGGATGGTATTTAGAGGGACATCTGGCAATGGTCATAGTGTTTTCCATGCTTGGATGGAAGGTAAAGTTGATTATATTTTTAAACCTGTAAATGTTCCTTGATCCTTTTCGTATGAAAATATTAGTGTTGAAATATTGCTTATAAACCTTACAGCACTGAATAACTCAAATGGAAATAGAGACATATGCAAGGTTTAACTATAAATACAAGACAACTGCATACTCTTAACCTGTGATGTTAAAGCCGACGGGCTAAAGTGTTACAGGTCGGTATTACCATGTAACATTTGCAACTACGTGTGAAGAAGTCCCGACATACCTGTGTCAGTGCCTCAGATGCCTAACTAGATAAGCGTTTCGTGGAGCACTACAACCCCCCCCCCAACCAAAAAAAAAAAACAAAAAAAAAACAAAAAAAAAACAACAAAAAAAACCACAAAAAAACAACAAAAAACACCAAACAAACAAAACACACACACACGCACGCACGCACGCACGCACCAACACACACACACACGCACGCACGCACGCACGCACACACACACACACACACACAAAAAAAAACAACAACAATAACAACAAAAACGTTAAACCCCAGAGATTAAAGATATGTATTTCAAAATGTGGATAACGTTTTAATGGCATGAAAAGTTAATTATAATCAAATGCTTCTAAGATTTCGTACGATAAACTCTGCATATTGAACAACCCTCATAATTGCCAAACACGCTTAAAGAAGCAAAATGTGGTTCAGCTAAATGGCCGTAGAGAATTTTATTTCAAAATAATAATAGGATACCAAAAAAGGAAAGTTTTTGAAATCATGTAATATTAGCATTTCATTGACATAATAAGCCTTGAAAAAAATCATACAAAAAGTCATTTAAGGGTTTGTTTCGACGATTTGAATGTTCTTGAAGATAACACACATCTTTGTTTAAAACACACACCCTATAACGGTGATTGGATACTGTTTTACACATACATTTTTATCATTGCGCATTGATAGGTTTAATATTTTTGCCCAACATTTTATGTCTTATAAGTCAACAAATGAAGTTTAAGCATTGTTATTTGTCATAACAGATTAAGTATGTTACATTTAACAAGGTAGAGATAATTGTTGTAGTTTTTATAATTTTCCATGATTTTCAGGAAAGAATTCAAATCAAGACAAACCAGTTTCTATGAAACGTTCTCATGGTTTACATTATCGGGATGACATCTTAGACAACTGGTCAAACCTTGGTATCAAGCTGGTTAAATTTGCGTTCTATGATACTGACAAAGAGGTGGCATACTTGATCTTCAACGGGAAAGATAGCGACATGAACAACTGGTTTGATAAGAGCCGCGTCATTGACTCCAGTTGGCCAGACCTGACTTCCAAAAGTACATTTAACAAATTCTCCATTGCAGGACATACCATAACTAATCTACATGATCGTCGTTTCTACATCAACAGAAATTATGGTGGATGTGCAAATGACCGTGGTCACCTTGCAGTTATCAATTCAGCTGTATCTAAGCCCGTATGTTTGTTTGACAGCCAGCCATCGTACCCAGCATTTATATATTCGAAATATAATTCGGTCGACTTCTTTCAGAGAAGAATGTTTGGTACTGCAGATTTCATGGTGGTTTCCATAAAAACACACGTTGGCTAAATGTAAACATCACAGTGTCAAAATACCTTAATTTGTTCAACACTTATAAGAACACAAACCATTTGCAATTGTTAGTTCAAGGACATTTTTTCTGTTATCTGTTAAACTGATTTCTAGGTTACGTTTATACAAATTGAATGTTTATTTTCCTGATGATATTGAATTGCGTACAAAGTTTGATTTTTAAGACAGTTATGTAACACCAATTTTTCAAAATGTCTTGTATGGAATGACCATCAATAAATCTTTAACAACATCTTTACAATGCATTGTACATGATATTTCCATATGCAGCAAAATATTGACCATTGAATGTTGTTAAGCTATGTTTGTGAACAAAATACAATATAATAACAAATAAAAACATACATGCAACGGAAACATTTTCATAGTTCTTATGATCAATTTTCTCAAACTTCTCTGGTACATGTACAGAATAAGTGAACACAATAAGATGTTCCAAAGCACAGAATCCCATATACAATGCAAGGCGTGAAAAGCCATGTTTTTGTTCCTTCACAGAACTTTAAAAACAAAATTCTTTTCAATTTATTTTATGATTCCTATCACGATACAAACAATTATGCTACGGATTTTAGGGAGGTCAAAGATGTATACCATACCAATTTATGCATATCATATCATAAAGCTATAATGTAATAAATTACGATAAATAAAAAATACTAAACTTACCAGTTTGTTGAACTGAATTTACAATTGTAAATATAAGCTTGACAAGTGTATACTTGCAAACTGTCTGTACTGTGACTTATCCAAAGTATAAAAAACACAATGTGCAAAGTGAAAGAAATGAAAGGTGAGATTAAGTTTACAGAAAAATAGATGTACTGCTGTTTCTGAAACTTTTCTCAAAGGTTCCAAATCCCGTAAACTGGTGACAATTTTAATCAAACCACCATTATTCATTAACTAATAATAAATCACCGACATACAATCTTTAAAACACTGATACCAACCAAAAGCAGTTCGGGATGATACTTGCCAAGAATCAATTAGCCATATTTCAAAATGTCACAGGGTAAGAAAAAAGCCTGAGCGCGACTCGAACCCCGGCCCTTTGGAAAACTGTTCTGCGGCTTAACCAACTTACACATCTTTTCCCTTAAATAGTGAGCAGTTCTGTACCGTTCGCCTAGTGGTTAAGGCGTCCCCCTTTGGATCGGGAGGTCGAATGTTCGAGCCCCACGGAGAGCGTTAATTGAATGATGAATGTTTTTCGAGGGAGTTGTTCCGAAATGGCCGCTTTGTGAGCTGCGAGGTAGTTAAAATGAATGGTTATCGACTTCTATCCGGCTGACGCCTGGCATATTGGTAGGAGATGAGAGGTACATGGTATACGTGCAAAAGACAAGAAAATAATGTTTGGATCGCGGATTTCATGGTGATTTTTATAAAGGCAGGATTGTAAGATATTGCATTTTCCACACGCACGCACAGACACGCTGGTCGACAATCTTTCTTGGTTAACTCTTCTAATATACATATCCATTATCTTTACCTGAAGAACGTTTTGGTATGTTAAATTATATAATATTTCTTTTTTCTATTGAAATTATACTTAATAGTTGCATATCCTAATATCAGAACGGAATGATACATATTATATAAAACCTTTTTGTTAAAATACCAAAAATGTCTTATTTAACAATTTAATTATTCAGTGTTTCTATATCTATACACTCTCAGATATCTAATTTAACACACACAATTTTGTTATTTTGCTCGGACGTAAGAATGTTATGATGTACTTTTCACTTTTCCTTTTGACAGACTTCAACAAAATCGACACTGCTCTCGATGGATATCATTTTTTTTTTCAGAATTCTTTTTTACATAATAGGAAAATTTGTTTCCAGTGTTCTAGCCAAAATGTGTTGACAATCAGACTGCCTTTGTATTTTTATTCCGAGAAAAATATATTCAAATTGTTATTTTTCACAAGAATTATGTCTGAAATAGGTTTAAAACATATGCTGATAACAAACAAGGGAACAACGCCGTGACGTAAAGCCATGGTCCCTGAATTGAGAAGCAAACATCCTAACACTTGGCCTGACCTGTGTGTACATTAAGTTACAGAACAAACTTGATTGATAATAATAGGAGCATTTTGTGTCATCTACTTTGTTTGCTGTGTCTTTTGAATCATGGTATGCTCGGCTCCTTTATTCTTTGGGTCAAATGAGAGATATACATTGCTGGATGCACTCAAATGATTTGCAAATGATTGTAACTTTTATATTTTACTTTCATACTATGCTACTACATCAAGTTTCTACCACATCATTGCGTATTGGCGATGTGGCCGAGTGATGAACGCGTCGGACAAGTAATCAATCTAAGGATTGCTGACCGCGTAGGTTCGAACCCTGTCTGGGGCAAGCCGTTGTTTTCTTGAGCAAGAAATATATTTACACTCATTACATAATACCGGTTGGTTCCAGGAACGGTTCAATAGTGTTTCAATAAGCTAAAGCTTATAGCTTCCAACACAATCGAACTAAATAAATTTGCATAAACTAAACTTTTGGCGATGTGAATTGTATAATTATTTTTATGCCAACTAAATATTGAATTTTATTGTATTGTTAAGAAACAAATAAACATGATCAATGAAAGCTTTAACGTATCATGAAAAATTGCAAAATCTTTGTTTGTCACGTCTGGGGGATATCATTTAACGAACCAAAGAAATTTTAAGAATATGGTGAGCGAATCTGATTCTAAAAGCACTAAATATAACAGAGATAATACATTGTGACGATATTTTGTTACCCACTCACCAAGATGCGCAATGGCATGACAGATGAATTAAGTAACATTTCATAAGCATACAAAAATGCCTATTAAGGACATCTATAAAACAAAAACTATACCAAAATATATACCGGTAACCAAAACCCTTTAACTTATATGTCATCAAGTCGACAATCTGACAGATCTTTAAAACATTGATTGGATAGATAATGTAGACTCTCTCTCTGTAGTTTTGAAAAAAATGTATGGATTGTTTCAAAACTGATCTGAGTACGGTATTTCATTAAGATATTACTTAAGATTACAGATAACAACTTGTGAAAATATTTGTAGAAATGACATCTAAAATTGTCACATGTTGAAATGGAAAGACAGTTGCCGATGAAATAGAAACTGGTATTTTCTCAGGCACCATGTTGCACTCAAGTGGTTTTCATATTGAAATAAAGCAAATGACAAAAATGACTGACTTTGATGTCCTTTAATTTGGACGAAGGGTTTAGTTAAAAAAAAATTACACACTTTCCAAGGTATAGAGGCAGAACCGTCTGACTTAAATAATTGAAATATTTTTAGGTAGGTTTCAAGCACGTATTGTTTAGCTTTTCTTATCGTTTTATCTAATACCCACATATACAGCGACATAAAAAGACGAAATATACAAAATATCTTTTCAAGTACAGTCACGTATTTTATAGGAAACAATAATTCGGAACTTGCAAGTCTTAGCTCTGAAATCATATGATAAAATTGATCAATACAAATCACCAAAAACGGAAGCACGCAAAATAAAATACACATCAGCAACCTATAAAAATGGTGAAAACCACAAATATTCAACATAAAATACTAACTTCACATCATCTTACCAGCTTTTAAACCATAATAATTAACATTTACATTTATCTTCATAAACAGAAAATCTACTATGAAAATCCTTACAAGACAAAATCACCTATTACAATTCAACCAATAGCAACCAAATATATCTAACCAAACAAGTATAGCTCAACAACCAAATTCAATTCAACGACCTCATGCAATGAACCTAGATCAATTAAGATCACCGAAATTACTTCGACCGAATTCAACAAATTCATAGAATTACATTGAAAACAACAATATTTCCTGCTCTAAAATCCTTATACATTTCGAGTCTGCCTTCCCTAAACAGATGTCAGTTTATACAAAACACTACCATGATCATAAACTAATTGTTATAATAACATATTTCCATTCAAATGTATATTTTACCTAATTTTCAAACAACAACGGATTGAAAAGAAAAGAGAAACAAATAGCAGATTAAAACATGATATCTACAATCAACTGTAAGAAAAACATCGCTGTTGGAATAGAAATCAACAGAGTAGACAGTATGTCATAAACCGAACATACAACCTTATTAATATTGTTGTTTTTGCCATTCTTTTCGCGTTCCGTTGTCTTTATTTTCTATCTCCAATACTGCTTACAATTTTTCCCGACTAACTTAATGAAGACTGGAGAGAGTTTTTTTTGTCAAATCAAGAAAATGTAAACATTCATCTTCTCAGAGAAAGAAAGCCTGACATAGAACATTTGGAAAGTGACTTTACTAAATCTGACATGTGGTCATGAGTGGTTCCGATAAACTCTAAATCAAGGTTGGTGGATTGTTATGAACTTTCAAGACTTTTGTTATCATATTCTAAAACCATGCAAGGTTTCTGGTTAGTTGATTCTTTTATACAGTTTTCACTCTGTTATATGTCTGTATGTCACAGTAGCATACGCCATAAACTTGCTAACGGGTTCCGGTTTTTCACTTGCAGAATCACTTTTGTGATTTGTGCAAAATAATAGTGGGTATGAAAGGAAGTTTCTATTAAAACTTGAATCAATATCATACCAGCGTCTTGTACATTTTTAACATAATCCGATTAACGCAGTTCAGAAAAGTGTCGGTTAATATAAGCAAATATTAGGGAGCGATGCTCCGTCGTAACGAAGAAAGACCATACGCTTTTTTCTTGAGTTTGACAGTCTAACAATTGATCTAATACAAATCTTAACCATAACAAACTAAATATTAAAAAAAATAATGCAAAGGTGCTAAATTTGATAGCCATAAAACGTTACACGTGGAATTTTAAGAATATTAAAAACTATAAAGCATTGACAAATTCAATAAACGTCAGGTTAATCCTTGATGGATGCCTAGGTGCAATTTAAAGATCCTCATGTTGCATCACGTAGTTTCGCGATTTTATAGATGAATTGGTAATACTTTGACTTTATAGACAATTTTTGAGCTCTGCATACAGTAAAGTGAGTTACGCACAGAGTTTAGCATATATATATATTTGTGGGGTAAAGGATTGCGGCCCTTTGTCATGTCTCGTCTAGAAGAATTAAATTTTATGCAGCCTCAATAAATTTTTAATGTACTCCTTCCTTACTTGCGATACGCTTTATAGTGCTGCAAATCAGCCTATTTTACTAGCCTATTTAGAGAGGTAAGTGGTCTATGTCACCCAACAGCATGTTTCATATACCAAAATGTTTGTTTGTATATGTAGTTTTCGGAATGGATATTTATTTGACCCGACTCCGATGCGAAGCTAAGATATCCAAGATGGCGTCAAAGATGGCCGCCAAATTCTAAATATTCTAGTATATTTACGTTGGCTAATATTTTTCTCAGTTTTTTTAAATCAGTTGAAATTTAACATGAAATTATTTATTTTCTAACTCACTCATGCTATAAATTCTGACTTTAATACATTTCTTTTTAGTTTTCATCATCTTATTTTAACGAAAAAAGAAAAAAATATGTTGCAAACTGGGTGACCTTCTCTTAATATGCGTAACTTATTACTTTATTTTTGTTTAAACTGATTAACATTCATGATTTCGTTTCATACAGATTTAA